AGCCAAGCGAAGGACCAGGGCCTACGGCGCCCAGCAACGGCCCGGCAGCCACTTCTCAAAGTTTAACGCCTCAGCGGGTTTAGATTCCTCCTTTCAAAATACCAGAAGCAATTAGACCAGATGGGCGAGCTGCGTGCCAGTGTCCCTCCCTCCTTCCCTCCCTCCCTCCTTTTTCTAAAAAATCAAGACCGCTTTCAGTTAAACGAGAACAAAAATGCATCCAAAACCCATACATGAATGCGGTATGTACACGGAATTTTTTTTAACACTTAGGCTTCTGTAACAGCTGAGTTCTTCCTCTTCTGCGGCTGGTTCCCGCCCCCTCCCTCGAAGCTGCTCTCGCAAAGGCTCCGTGCCCGGTCTGCACCTGAGGGGACCAGAAATGGCTTCCCTGAGCCCTGAAATGTCACAGCGCAGACGCATGGGCCCAGCGAGGCTTCCTTGCTGGACTGGCCCAGAAGGAACCAAATCCAGGGGTCGGGGTGTGTGGCCTCCAGCCGGGGGGCAACGGGCAGCACACTAAGCCAGGCAGCGGCCCGGGTGGGCCCCGGGGGAAAGAGGCCAGCCCTGAGGAGGAGGAAGGAAGCAGCGGGCAAGAGGCCGCAGAGACCCTCAGACAGGAAGAGCGAGCAGGCTGGCCCCCAGCCTTAGCGGCATCCCCACGGCCTGGCTTCCTCCCGTCTGTCCGCTCATCCGTCCATTCATCCAACGGCTCTTTATTGTGAGGGGCCAGACCCGGCACTGCAGGGAGAGCCACAAAAAGAAGACTGGGTGCCTGCTCTCGTGGAGCCTCAAATGTTCTAGTAGGAAAACAGGCGTGAAAGAAATTAACTCTCAGGGCAAGTAAGGCCACGTGGTTGGAGCGAAGGGGCCCACCGGAGCGGGGCGGGCCGGAGCGAGACGCTGGTGTGAGGCAAAGCGGGCAGGACGGGGCGGGCGCGGGCGCGGCAGGGAGGACAGGCTTTCCACACCTGGTGCCAGGCAAAGTGGGCATCAAGGTGCAAGGGCCCCAGACAGGACCCCCCCCCCGCCCCCAGTCAGCACAATCACTGCCGGCGGGTCCGGCGCCTCTGTGTCAAACGCCACGTTCTGGAAGCTGATCTGGAAACATCTTCACGGCTTCAGGAGATAGAACGTTTCTTAAAAAGGACACAAAAGGCACTCGCCACAAAGAAACACACACACACTCAGCCCTGCCAACAGGAAGAACTTCCGGCCATCGGGAGCCGCCACTGGGGGAGGGACCAGCAGGGCCCAGAGGAGGAAGGGTGGCCTGGGACAGCGCCCCGGACAGGCTCCTATCCGGATGCGTAAAGCATCTCTATGAACCAACAGAACAAGACAGGCCAGCGACATTTTTCAAGTGAGCAAAAGACTTCAGCGCTTCGTAAAGGAAGAAACCCAAGTAGCCGACACGAGGTTCTCAGTACCAGGGATGGTCAAGGAAATGCAAATGGAAACCCCACACAGAGACCCCAGCACAGCCCCCCGGAGGGAGACAACTTAAAAGTCTCACCGCACCAAGTGCTGGCGAGGGTGGAAGGGGGGAACTGCCGGTGGGAGAACAGGCACAACCACGAGGAAAGCAATTCGGCGCCCCCGCTGAAGGGCTGCATCGGCTGCCACCTGACCGCGCCACACTTAGGCACGCGTGCGGCGTGTGCCGTGCACATGTGCTCAGAGGCAACTATCTCTGTGCCCCAAGAGGCGCGTACAAGAACGTTCATGGCGATCGTGTTTATAATAGCCCCGAAGCGAGGGAGGCTGGGTTTGGGAAGAACGGGTAAATTAATTGCGTTGTGCTTGGACGATGAAGTCCTAAACAGCCGTGAGAAAAGAACTGATGGCCACTGCACGAGACAGCACAGAAGGATGTTAAAAATGGGACGTCGAGCACAAAAAGCAGACGACACACACACTGCATGAGCCGGTTGTCTTATCAAGTTCAAAAACAGGCAGGACCCACCGATCCCTGGATTAGGGTAGCCAGATGCAACACAGTGGGTCCCGTGGAACCTGGACTTGAGATAAGCAACAGATAATTCTTTTAGGATAACATTGCATGGGACATACTCATAGTAAAAATTATTCTCTCACCCTGGCTGGTGTGGCTCAGTGGATTGAGCGCCAGCCTGTGGACCAAAGGGTCGCCAGTTGGATTCCCAGTCAGGGCACAGGCCTGGGTCGCAGGCCAGGTCCTCAGTAGGGGGCGTATGAGAGGCAACCACGCATTGATGTTTCTCTCCCTCTCTTCCTCCCTCCCTTCCCCTCTCTCTAAAAAAATAAATAATCTTTAAAAATAATTATTCTCTCTCTGCCCCACTCGCTGCTGCAGGCAGGGCCGGCAACGGTGCCCAGACCCGGGGCCACGGCAGGGGCTGGACGAGAACAGGCCAGCACAAGGCCTGGCCAGCGCAAAGGCCTGAGAGGCACGGACGTGAGCAGCCAGGGGCCTGGATGGCAGAGACAGGCCCGGTCTCCAGACCTCCAGAGCCCTGCAGGGGCTGGGCACACGACGGCCACCGTGGGCCTCAGAGTGTGTGTCCTAGCAAAACGTCATTCCATCCTCAGCCACAGGCCGTGGAACTGGGGCCCGCGAAGGGGAACGGCCTATGAGGACACTCACCCAATCCCAGTGGACCTCTGCTTGCATGCCCCTTGTGACGGGCAGCTCACCACTCACCAGTCCATGTGGCCTCTCCTCTGGGATGCTCTTCCCACACCGAGGAGAATCTGCCTGTGGTCACTGCCCCTGTGTCCCTGCCCTGCCTTCCAGGGCCACACAGCGCAGGTCTGACCCTTGGCGTGGCTCAGCCGTGCCCACATGTCCCAGAAGCCACTGAGATTAGGTCAGTCCGGACTAGTGGTTTGTTGACCCCTGTTCCCTGCCTACTGGTTCCAAAGTTGGAGAGAACACCCTAGTCCTCCTTGTGTTAGTCAACGTGTTAAGGGCCAAGGAGAGGGAAAAAGGCAAACCCTGCACGTCTGAACCGAGCAACAATCACAGCCAGCCTGCCTATCCGTGCCCTCCTAAGAGCCGCCGCACGCCTGGCGGCCGGTGCCGGGACTGAGCGCAGCGGCCCGAGCCTCGACCGACGGCTGCGGCCGTACAGCCCCCCGGCCCCCAGCAGGGGCCGCAGGCGGGCCAGGAGGTCCTACGGCCGTGAATATCTCTGGGGGACTGGCTAGTGCCATCTCCATCGTGTGGCTTCGCCTGGGGCTGCCACGGAGAGGACCCCGCTGCGCAGCGTCCCCTTGTACCGACGGGAGACCGAGGCTTGCGGAGGTCAGACACAGAGGGACAAGCGGAGCCGCGGGAACATCCCTGGTGTGTCTGGGTCCAAGCGCCTGACTGAGCCAGCCCTGCACCTGCAAGCACTGCGTCCCCTCCAGGGCGCGATGTGCTGGGGCCCACAGGTCGGTGGCCCAGAGCTGCAGGCACAGGGAGCTGTGACGCACTGGGAGCTCCCTCCGCCTGTCACACCCTTCCCGGCCCGGGTCACCCCCGCCCCCACGGCTCCTGCTCCGCAGCTCTCGCTGAATCAGGGATTGGCCTCGAGCACCCTCTGGAGAGGGGCGCTGTCACCCCACTCTGCAGGAGGGGACGCCGAGGCACAGAGAGGCTCAGGGACTTGCCCAGGGTCACACAGCCCTTCAGAGGTGAGGCCCAGGCTTGAGCCGAGGCAGTTTGGTTCCAAAGCCACGCTGTTACCCTCGATAAAGTATAACTTTTCAAAGGGGGGATTATATATGTCGGGAGGTGTCAGGGAGGCAGGTTGCCAAAAACCACTGGGCAAGAAATCCAGCCCAGACTCCCTGGTCTGGGGCCTGAGGCCCCCATATCGCACCCTCCAGAGCCTCCACCCCAGCTCATCCACGTCCCCACTTGCACCGTGCACCCTGGACCTCCCCCAGGCTCGGCCCAGCCCCAGGCCTTCCCCACGTGCCCCCCCCCCCCCCCCAGTGCACCCTGCTGGCTTCCAGCCTCCTCCCCAGGTCTGGGCTCTGCCGGCCCACCTGGCAGGCTCGAGTGCCTCCTCTCCTCCCCTGTCCTTGGCACTGAGCTCCCCACACCCTGGCGTGCCCCCGGTCCTCTTCCGGGACCTCTTAGGCTGCAGGGAGGGTCCACAGAGACCTTGTACGCGGTGAGGACCCAAGAGAGGACAGCAGGCGCCTCCCGGGACTCAGGAAAGACGGGGCAGCCCGGCACCTCCCCTCGCTCCATGAGATGCCTCGGCAGCACGAGTCCAGGCCCTCGGCACGCCCGCAGCCTCCGCTGTCAGCGTGCGGCACGCCCAGGGCAGCACAGGGCTCCCCGAAGTCCCGGCATCCACACAGGCCCCGTGTCTTCCCAAAGCGCCCCCACCCGCCCTGTGGGTGCTGCTCCGGCCGAGGGTGCCGTCTCGTCTCAGGCCCCTTCCCTGCTTCATGGCTCAGATCGCCCCACCACTCCAGGGGGCACACGGGGGACACACGGGGGTCTGTCCCTGCTGCGTAGGGCGCCCTCCTCGCCCTCCTGCACTTGGCGCCCTGTGGCTGCGGCCGGCTGGGCCTCTGGGGGCCCCTCCGTCGGCACAGGGCCGAGGAAGGGTGGCGGCGATGCTTACGGAGGCCGCGGCCCAGGGCCCGGCTCGCTGCGGTTGCCCCGGGACGGCTCGCTGCCGCCGCCGCCACCATCACCTTCGCCGTGACGATCATCACCGTCTCCTTGATCATCACTGTCTTCACCACCATCACAGCCACACCGTCACCTGGCCTCCCACGGGCACACCGATCATCCCACAGGGCACGCGACCCATTCTCCCCTTGGTCCCCACCCAGCCAGGCGAGCTCAGGGATGAGGCCTGATCACTCTGTGTCCCCAGCGGACAACCAGGACTCAATGTGTGCCTGTGGTTTGAACCCGGGCCCGCGCCCCACCCCCACCACGCAGCCTCAGCTCCCCCCGCCCCCCCACGTGGCTCACGCTCCCCGCGCTCTGGGCGGCATGGCACACTCACCACGGGGAGCCGTAGATCCGGAAGCCCCGCACGGTGACCTCCGAGTCCTGCAGGTAGATGCAGTTGGTCAGCAGCGACTGCACGTTCTCGTAGTTCTCCGGCTTCAGCTTCGACACGGACGGGAAGTAGTAAAAGTCCTGCTTGATGAGGTCGGCCATGAACTCCTGGTCGAAGGTCAGCTCGTGGTTGCCGGCGATGACGATCTTGTACTCGTAGGGCAGGCTGCCTGCAGGGCGGGCACAGACAGACAGCGGCGCTGCCGGGGCCGCCCGCACACAGGCTCTGCTCGGCGCGGCTTCTCGGCTCTTTTACATTTGAACTTGTTGCCGGCATAAAAAATTCAAGAGATTCCCAATCAACTGTCATTCTTTCTGGTTTCTAAAAATCAAGCGATTGATTTTAAAATCTGATGATCTGGCCCGGTCGCGGGCCGAGCACCTGCATCTCCCTCAGACAGGATGCGCCCCTGGCCCCGCAGTCCCCTGCACTCATGCGCACCCCGCCTCGTGGAGCTCAAGGCATCGCCCTCCCTGTAGGCACTGCGGTCCCCAGAGATGGGGTGAGGAGACGCCTGGCTGCTGCCCCTTGGGGCTCCCGGGCAGACGGTGGGGATCACTCTCCAGGCCCCGCCCACCTGCACACCTCGCCCATAGCACGGGGCCTGGCCCTGGGGGCCGAGCAGTCTGCCCATTGCCAGAATAGACCTGCCGACTTCACCCGTCCCCGTCCCCAGCGGGTCCCAGCAGGTCAGGCCAACGAGGCCCCGGCCAGCAGCCCAAGGTGACACAATGCGGAGGACCCATCTATGGAGAGGCTCAGCCTGCCATCGGGGAGGACAGAGGTCGGCCCGGGTCCGAGCAGCCGGGGAAAGGTCACGGGGAGGGGGGCAGAGAGAGCCGACCGCCATTTCCCCGCCTCCAGTGCTGGGCCAGCCCCCGCGTGAAAGGCCCTCCCGCACCCGCAGGGCCATCGAGGGGGACCCTGTTACCTCTGCCCCGTAGCTGGGAGGCGGGCCCCGCAGTCAGGACCCTGCCCGGGCCCAGCGCAGGTGGGCCGCGAGGCAACCGCCGGGCGTCAGTCCGATTGACCCCACACACGTGGGTGAGCACTTCAGAATGCAAGGCCACCAGACCAGAGCGGGGGGCGGGGGACCCCTCGCCGCACCGCCAGCTGCCTTCGGGCTCTGATTCTGTTTCCACTTTATGGCACCCACCCGTCCCACGCCGAGCACCACCCCCGGCTGGGGGCGCCGGAGCTGCACTAATGCATTTATGTCACGTCCCGGACTGGGGACGTTCCTTAAGCAAATTAGCAAATTACTCCAACTGTACAGTGTCATTATTTCCGCAGCGCCTGTCTATCAGGGATTGGGGAGTGAGCAGGAAGCTGTCAGATGTCTGCTGTTCCTCCCTCCTCGGCAGAGGAGGGTCACTGAGGTTCTCCCCTCCCAGGGCAGGGCGGGTGGGGGCAAGGCTTCCATACACAGAGCCAGGAGGGGGGCAGGAGCCACGGCACGTTCGCAGGACACCCTCCAATATCGTCAGGTCTCTCCCAGGGTGGCGGGTGCCCTGTGGCTCGGAGGCAGGAGACTCGCCTGTTTGTGAGCGTTTTCTGAGCCGGAGGGCCAGCCACCGATGTGTCCGTCTAGACGTGGCAGCTCACCGCCGGGATCCTTCTCACAGATCCCTAAGGATCGCTGTCCCCATTTTACATCTGGGAACACCGGCGCTCCACGAGGTTGCCTGAGGTCACACGGGTCAAACCACAGAGGGCGATGGACGTGTGACGATCTCTGTGGCTTGGCCTCTCTACCTCATCGTAAAGGGGCATCCGCGCCACGGGCGGGCAGAGATGGGGGACGCGCGGACGATGAGTGGACGCGGCACGGGTGGAGGATGGACGGATGGAGGGGCGCAGGATGGACGGCTAGAGGGGTGAATGGACGATGGACGGATGGTGGGGGAGGGGTAAATGGGTGAACGGATGGATGGACAGATGGACGGAGAACGGATGGATAGATGGCGGAGGCGATGGGCGGGAGAAGGGAGCGTGCGCGGAGAAACGGAGGGGCAGAGGCGTGTGGGGAACGGACAGAGGAATGAAGGGGAGATGGGTGCATTTATAAATGAACCAATCCCAACAGCGCTGACCGTCTCCTGTATACCAGCTGGCCTCCACCTCCCGGGACCCCCCTTCCTCCGACGGCCCCGCAGGGTGTGTCTTTCAGAGCCACCCCCCCGCCCGGGCTCCTGCCTGCGCGTCTCTGAGTCCCCTCCGGTCGGGTCTGCTCTCTTGCAGGTGGGGGCAGAGGAGCCGGGGCTCGGGCTCAGGGGGGCCTGCCTGTCACCGAGCATGGCTGCTGTCCTGGGGCGGCTGCCTCCGTTGTCACAGCCGCAGCCGCGTCAGCTTCCGGTGCCCATGTCACCCTGCAGCTCTGAGCAGCCGGACAGCGGATTAAAGGCCAACGACGGCCACCACAGGCCCCCTCGCGCAGCCGCGGCCGCCCTCCTGTGTCCTGGCGGCGAGTGGGCACGGTGCTGGGGGCCCCAATGCCCACCGGATCTGCAGCGGCTCCGTGGGTGAAGAAGCAAAGTGAATTCAAGCTCTCCCGCCCAAGGTCTGCACGCTGGGGAGACGGCTGTCCCCTCCGCCCCTCCTCGCGCTGTCCTGCAGCAGCAGAGGGGAGGGCTCCTGGTGGCCTGGTCTGACAGGCCGGGAGTGCCCGAGTCCCGGGGGCGGGGGGGCGGTGTCCTCCAGGGAGGCGTGAAAAGGCAGGAGGCAGTGTCAACCCTGGGGACCAGGAATACTGTCACTCCCTGGCCCAGGATGGGTGCCATGCGGGGAAACCAGAGGAAAGACGGCCGGACACCGCGGGCGGCAGCCCGTCTGGGCGGCAGCTCCCGCTGAGGCTCGGGGGGGACGCACAGCTGCACCCACGTGCGTCGCCTCACCGCCCCCACCGCCCGCCCGGCGGAGGCGCAGCATCCAGCAGCCTGTCCCCAGATCCCACCAAGCCAGGAACTCGCCGTCTTCCCTGAAGCCGGGCCCTGTTGAAAAGCAACCCCTCCCCCACCCCCGACACACAACCCCGGTCGCCATCCGCAGGCTCTGGTGGAGCAGGGCCCTGCTCAGACCCTGAGCGAGGCCCGTCGGGGCCGCACTGATAACCAAGATGCAGCCATGAGGTGAGCACCAAGCGACACGCGGGGGTTCCAGTCCACACCACTCACTAGGCAGAGGAAACCGGAGCTCAGAGAGGGGAAGGGCCTAGCTGAGGTCACACAGCAAGACAGTGACAAGCAGGCACCTGAACCCTGGCCTCCCGCCTCGGGAGTGAAGGACAGCGGCTACGTCGGCCTCCAGGAGGACAAGCCCAATGATTTGGGGACTGGAAGAGGTATGAGAACATTCAGGAAGACTTGTATAGCAACTCAAGGGACAGGTTAGGTGCTGGGCCAGGTGGGCCTTGCTGGGTGGGCCAGGACACCGGTCGCCCAACCCTCGGTCTCCCAGGAACCAGCCCCGTCTCCCTCTGCTGTTCAGGACTGTGGGACACTGCCGCGTGTCTATATTCTGCGTGATCATGTTCAGGCTGTCTTCACAAGACGCGTCCTTTCTTCCCAGCCCAGTTATCTGAAAGCTGGGCACCAGCTAGCGATGCGTTTCCTCGTGCTAACGAGGAAGGAACCCTCAGTGCACTAGAGGATGTGACCGCAGGCTTCCATCCAGCGCGCACACCCAACGCGGCGTGCATCCCCGCATAGAGCGCGCGTAGACCCCACACGGCAGTAAGTGCGCGTGGCACGCGGGGCACACAGAGGGACACGCATGGAAACCTCTGCTACTTGTGCTTCCAAGACTAACCTCCCTCTGAAAGGTTACACCTCCTCGTTGCCAGCACCTGCCCGCCCCGTTTAACAAGAAGAGCTACCTCCAAGCTGCATCATCTGTTAAACGCAACAAGATAGGTGCCAGTGGCTCCACAATCTGTGCTGTTGCAGAGCGGCGCGCCGAGCCCAGCAGAGTGGCAGCGTTCTCCACATGCAGTGACAATCAGGAAAATGCCTGGTTACGACTCCTTCCCCGTCACCACCGTGCGGAGCACCGCCGGGCGGGCGGCATACAGCGACGGCAAACAAGCTCTGATTGCGTTTGGAGCACGTCACTGACGGTTCTGTGTTTCAGCACTTGCCAGAGTCTGCGAGACTCGCAGCCGCCGACCTCCTGGGATGGTGCGCGGCCTGGAATCACAGGACGGAGGGCGCCAGCACCCTGACTCTGCCTCAGGCCACCCGCAGGGTCTTGGCACAGGTCAGGTGCACAACTGCCCAAGATGGAGTCACACAGGGGGGACACGGGCCAGGGATGCCAGCAGAGACGGGGTTCTGTGTGCAGCCTGAACCAGAGGGAGAGACCTGAGGCCGGGCCGCCGACGGCCAGGGTGCGGTGCCGGGATCGCGGCACACGCGCAAGCGGGGCCTGCGGAATCTGCTCTCCGCCGCTCTGCCGAGCAGGAGCCGGAGCCAGGCCTTGTGAGAAGGGATCTGCACCTGATGCTTCCAGGCACCCCTGGGAAGAAGGACCGGTCACCCCACCCCACGGAGCGGAGGCCCTGCGACAGCGGCCAGGGGTGTGCAAGAGGCGTCCAGAGCACGGCTCCCGGCCCCCGCCCCCGCCTCCTCCTGCTCCGTGGCCGGGAGGGAAAGCCTCACCCTGAGCCTGGAAACCGGCTGTTGCCTGCTCTTCCCGGGTTTCTCACAACCACCGCACAGGGGAGGGCGTCCGTCGGGGGCCCTGCGAGGCGCTCGTACTGCAGGCAGGGGAGCAGCTGGCGTGAGGAGGGCGTTTCTACCCTCGGGTCCCTACAAAGAGGAGGCGCGCAGGGGGAGGCACGCGGGCCACATGGGAAGCCACGCCGGACGGGAGGCAGAGGGAGCGGCAGGAAACCGAGGGCAAGAGCCTGTGCTGTGGTTTGCAAGGCGGCAGGCAGGGCGAGCCGGTTCGGGTCGGCGGCTGGAGTGACGCGGGCGGGCGAGGGTGGGGCACAGGGCTGGCCCTACTGCCTGCTGCCTGGCGCTGGGGTGACCAGGGCAGGGGCGCGGTGCCCTGGGGACGGGGGGCACTCTGGGCGGGCTGGCCTGCTCGAGGCAGGCGCGGCACTTGGGGGCGAGCCCGGTGCCGTCGCTGGCACAGGCTGGCCGGGCAGGTGGGCCTTCAGTGTCAGCA